GTTACAAAACAACCGAGTTAAAACAAAACACATAAGAAGATTAGGAGATATGAAACAACAATAATGGTTACTTATGAAACAAAGAGAGAAGTTATGAAAGAAAAAATAAGGTTACATGAATAACACAAAGGGAGAATAAGTTTTGAATAAAAAAACAACAACAGATCTACACTGAAAGCAGACAAGAGGAGCTAACAATGATATTAGGACACAAGTTTCCAAAAACCAATAGGAAGTGCATTCAAAGAAACCACAACGACTATTGATTGTAAAGACTGATATACTTTTGAGGCAACAGAAGGACCAAGGAATGGGATATAAATGAGCTAACACAGCTATTAAAATATGCAACAACTTATGAGTTTTCTAACAAAGTTATCTAGAAACCTACATGAGTAGCTTATGAAACTGCTAACAGGGTAAATAAGGAAACAACAAGAAAACTGGCGTAAAATTAATCAAAGCTAATTTCTACAGAAGCCTTAGAAGTATAATTAAAACAATTTGACTATCTGAAGGATTTATTTAATCTCTTGATATGTAAAAGTAAATCCTAATTTATGTCATAGTGATTAAGTGAATAACCTTCCAGTTTTTATTTTGTTCATGAGATAGAAATTTCAAGACACATTTTATTTATATAATGTTGAAAAGTGCAAGTTACTTAACTTATGAAAGTTCAAACAAAGTTCTTGATTGCACTCTAAATACATGTCTAGATACACACAAGTAAAGCAGAGTTGTCTGTCTGTATGGTGTCACAAATTGTCGTGAGATATAGCTAAACTAATTTTGATTAAATCTGGTAGAGGAACACAGGTGTCCTCCCCTCCCTATGATCAAGTTTACATAGATAAGCAACAGAATGAAAAGTTTGAAACTGACAACCATTTCAAGTTCATTTCCTTAATACCATGAATGAAGGCTCAACTATCTGATGAGGTCAACAGCAAAATAATGTGATGTCAAATGTAATGTTTAATACAATCTAAAGCACAAGCACCTTTTAACTGAAAAAAGGGTTCCTGTGTTACAGCTGAAAACAGCAGAAGACGACAACCCACATCTCCATCTACAATATTAATTGTTAAGTCCAGCATTGCTGGGTACCTCGACTTGATCTTTGATGTTATTATTTAGTATTAAATCCTGTCCATTTTACACTAAACATTATTTAAAGTAGTAATAGTACAACATCTTTGTTGATAATCTAAAATTTACACCCTAATTACTACTAAGACCACTAAAGTATAAGAAAATAACTTTTCCTTACCGGGATTGATTTCTTTTTCAATTTTCCTTCCGAGAGCAGAAGTTGATAAACGTGTTCTGTAATCAACTGAAAGTACATTATATCTTCAAAACATTAATAATAATACTTGCTCAGCCATAAAAAAACAGGTAATGATATCTTAAACCAAGTACACATAATCCGTTTTAAATAAATTAATAATAATAATACTTATTGAGCAATGAGGTAATGATATTTTAAACCAAGTACACATAATCTGTTTTAAATAAATTAATAATAATAATACTTACTAAGCTATGATGAAAAGCTAATAATATCAGATATCAAGCTTGTATAATTCCTTTTAAAAAAAATTATAACAATACCACTTACTCAGCTATTATGAAAAGGTAATGACATTATAAACCAACTACATGTAATTAGCTTTAAATGTGAAATACATCAACACCCAAACTCACAAGTTATGGAATTCTATAAATACAACTCAGATCACTGATTGAATTTCTTGCTTCATTTAACATTCTCTTCGTGGTATTTACCACATTGGGAATACACAATGACAATGGCTTTTTTAAGCCAAAGAAAAATGTAGAGATGTTCAGTTAAACATTTAAGTGATAGACTGTCTTCACTTTTTATGTGAAATAAAGGAACTCTGTCCTAACAAAATGCAGTTATTCACAGAACAGTAACTTTATTATGTTTTATTTAAATATTAAAAAGATTCTTTTAGACCAAAAAGAACATGTCTTTTTTTAAGAGACTTTTCTTACATCAAGATAAATAACTGATTCAGTCTCAGCATTCTTTTACCCCAAGATAAACAGTTAATCTATTGACGCAGATATCTCTTATGTTAAACAGTTAATTTACTGACAAACTATTACTTATAAAAGGACATCCATCTGACTGTGATGCTATATTTTACATCAAGACAACGGTTAATCTTCTGACAAACTATTACTTATAAAAAGACATCTATCTGACTGTGATGCTTTATTTTACTTCAAGACAAACAGTTGATCTAGAGACCCAGCATTACTTTACACCAAGACAAACAGTTGATCTAGAGACCCAGCATTACTTTACATTAAGAGATACAGTTGATCTAGAGACCCAGCATTACTTTACACTAAAATAAACAGTTGATCTAGAGACCCAGCATTACTTTACCCTAAGACAAACAGTTGATCTACAGACCCAGTATTACTTTACACTAAGACAAACAGTTGATTTAGAGACCCAGCATTACTTTACACTAAGAGATACAGTTGATCTAGAGACCCAGCATTACTTTACACCAAGAGATACAGTTGATCTAGAGACCCAGCATTACTTTACACCAAGACAAACAGTTGATCTGGAGACCCAGCATTACTTTACACTAAGACAAACAGTTGATCTGGAGACCCAGCATTACTTTACACTAAGACAAACAGTTGATCTAGAGACCCAGCATTACTTTACACTAAGACAAACAGTTGATCTAGAGACCCAGCATTACTTTACACTAAGAGATACAGTTGATCTACAGACCGAGCATTACTTTACACTAAGACAAACAGTTGATCTACAGACCCAGCATTACTTTACACTAAGACAAACAGTTGATCTACAGACCCAGCATTACTTTACACTAAGACAAACAGTTAATACAACAACCAACATTTGCTTACAACAAAACCAACAGCTCAATCAATTGTGAAGCTTTCCACTAAGATAAGATAAATAACTGATCTACTGATACAAATTTGCAACATTAATGATTGTCTGATTTTTTCCTGTCACAACTATAATAGATGATATGTTGATAAGTTTTCTATAACTTTGAAAACAAGAGAAATTCCTCATTAAGCGTGACACTTGGAATTCTTTTAGGCAGGATTAGAGTAAATTAATCTATGAGATATTTATTTCCCTTTATATAAGCTATATTTTTTGCGATCCAGCAATATCAAGCGTGGGGCCCACATATACCCGATTCAATTTTATTACTCATCAGGATCTCTACCAGCCTACTCTCAAACTGAAATTCTTTTAGGCAGGATTAGAATAAATTAATCTACGAGACCTTGGGCACAGTCAAATACATCAGCCGAAAGGGTTTGACCTACTGAGTCCAAAACTGTAATTAGATCTCAAATCAGTCAAGAGATGACAGAGCTTCGAGCTAAAAGTTTGTACTTGAAAAAAACAAACTCGGAGCCATTCCACGAGCAGCTCATCTGTGGTTAAAAATGGTTACTTAATAATGCTTCTATTCATTTAATAGAAATAAGCTATTACTCCAGTAATCAAAACTTATTTTTAAACCAAAATGAGCAGCTGATATATTTATACATAATTACCCTGGTATCATAAAAACACGCATGACGACAGCAAATCCAAACCAACCCATCTTTATTATCCATACAGATGTGCACAAAAAAAAGATAAATACTAATCCACGCATTGTAACATAACTTTAAGAAAACCATCAAACATCAGTTTGATTGTCAGACAGAAGTTATTTTACCTGGATTTAGGTTTTCTAAACTTATACAAACACTACCTCTAATAATTAACTCGTCTTCACTAATCGAAACAAAACATAAATCAAGATGTTTATTATACTTTACATGTATAAGAGTCAAACCTTGTGGATAAGAAACAGATCTACATTACATAATCGCATAACCAAGTACTGATCTATCTGTCATCATGTATGAAAGAAGGTAAATTTAAATTATTCTGTGATGTTGCTTCTTTCATTTATATTTCACTTAAAATTAAAAGTCTAAATAATAACTAAACACACCTCTCCCAAAGCTTCATATCTTCTCTGGTTGTAATCATGGTCATTCTCTTTTGCTTGAAATTTGAATGGTTCACCAGTCTCTATATGTCTTAAAAGTCCATCTAAATGCCATGAAAGAAGAGTAAAATCTTATCGAAAAAAAAAGAGAGAGATTTATAAAGTAAAATGATAAAAAAACATTACGAAGAAACACACTAGTGAATCATATACATTCTGGTATTTGAACAAACACCTGTAATTAAATAAAATCATGCAGCAAACACTGTACATTACAAAACAAAATGTTAAGGACAGCTTTATATACATACGAAATATCAGTAACTCATTAAAAATACTTTACACTAAACTTATTTATCATCATTTCATTAACCAGTAATCTAATGAATGAAACTTGTCACCTTACTGCAGTTAGTAAAATATTAGGCTATGCTCAAACCTTATGACAGCATTTCCCATTTTACATTAAATTATCAAAACATTTTATTTTCCTTCCTTTTGTTTACAAACTGTGAATTTTACCTTAGCTTTGAACACATAACAATGGTTGGAAATTTACTTTAAGTAAAAATTTTGGCAGAAAGATATATAATTTCAAATTAAGCTAAAAATACTGTTTCTGATTACTGTAACACGAAAATTAATATCAAATTTAAAAAAAAATTAATTAGATAGAAAGATAAAGGGACAATGCTAACATAAGAACACAGCACTTCTTATTTTACTTTGAGTTCTAATCCTGAGGTTAATCACCTGCCCTTAAAGGAACTGCCTCCATTGTTGATGAAGTTCACTCTCATGACCATGATTACATACCACAACCCAATTTCCACAGTAACAAGTTCTAGTGGAGGATGGCAAAATTCGTCTTACGCCAAATATCTTTCAAGAGACCCTCCAAATTAATGCGGATTTGACAGGTATGTGGTTAAATTTTTATGATTTCAGTTTCTTTGGCCACCTTTCTCACGGTGTGGATGGAAGCTTGGGATTTTTGTCAACTTTAAATCTTTGTATAATAACCAGAAGAAATGTTTAATTTTATCCAATTGGCTTTGTGGGTTGGAAAATTTTCTTTGTAACCATAACCTTCACTTTGTGGATAAGGGTTTAGCTTCAGTTTGGTTTGTGGTTTTAAAAACCTGATGCTCTCCTCAATACGCCAGTGTGTGATTTGTCCCAATGATCTCTTCAATACGCCAGTGTGTGATTTGTCCCAATGATCTCTTCAATATTCT